CAGGTGAAGGCCGAGCATAAAAAACTAGCCGGTTTATTGCAACCATTACCTGTAGCGCAATGGAAATGGGAGTATATTGCTATGGATTTTGTGACAGGTCTTCCAAGGTCATGAAGGGACAATGAGTCCGTATGGGTCATCATTGACAGATTGACCAAGACGGCTCACTTTTTGCCTATTAAGGCAACAGATGATGCAAAGAAGCTTGGTGTTCTTTATGTGAAGGAGATTGTAAGGTTGTATGGAGTTCCAGTAACCATTGTTTCAGATAGGGATGCCAAGTTCACTTCGAAGTTCTGGGAAGGACTTCAAGCAGCGTTTGGCTCAGCGTTGCATCTGAGTACGGCATTTCATCCACAAACTGACGGTCACTTGGAGCGTACTATCCAGATTTTGGAGGATATGCTTCGGGCATGTGTGCTTGACTTGGGTGGTAGTTGGGAGGATCACCTTCCACTTATTGAATTTGCCTACAACAACAGTTATCAGGCGAGCATTCAGATGGCTCCATTTGAGGCGTTGTATGGTAGACCTTGTAGGTCTCCTGTTTGTTGGACTGAGGTAGGCGAGACAGTCGCCTTAGGACCCGACATTGTACTCGAGACTACTGAGAAGATTAAGTTGATAAGACAGAGGTTACTTACAGCTCAGAGCCGACAGAAGAGTTATGCGGATAAGCGAAGACGGCCGTTATCCTTTGAGGTGGGAGACCACCTTTTTCTTCGGGTTTCTCCACGGAAGGGTTTGATGAGATTTGGGAAAAGTGGCAAGTTGTCGCCACAATTCATTGGACCATTTGAGATCTTGGACCGAGTAGGAGAGGTTGCCTACAGACTTGCTTTGCCACCACAGATGGACAGAGTCCACAATGTTTTCCATGTATCGATGTTACGGAAGTACGAGCCAGATCCATCTCACATGATGAGTTGGGTTGATGTAGACATTGATGAGGATGTTTCCTACGAGGAAGGACCAGTTCAGATTCTTGACACACAACAAAAGGTGTTGAGGAACAAGACGATACCAATGGTGAAAGTCCTTTGGAGACACCACGGAGTTGAGGAGGCTACTTGGGAGCTCGAACAGGAGGTTCGCTCCAAGTATCCAGAGTTGTTTTTTTCCCCAGGTATGACTTGATTTCGGGGACGAAATCTTTTAAAAGTTGGCGAGAATGTAATGTCTGTGTCAATATATATATATATGTGCATATGTGTATATATTTGTGTGTGTGGTGTAATTTAAAACAAAAAGAAAAAGGAAAAAGAAAAAGGAAAATGGGTGGGACCCACATGCACTTAAAATGGTCATGAGACCACTTTTTGTTCTGAATTTTTTTATTTTCCCGTAAGCTTTTCTCTCTCGTTCCAGAAGCTCTCTGTTTTTTTTTCTTTTTTTGGTTTCAATCTTCAAGGCTTGATTGCTCCCTCATCTCTTAGTATTTTTAAGTGCCGTTTGAGGCAAAACGAAGCCCAAGACGAGCTCTACGCATCCATACCATCAATTTCAGTTTTTGTGCACCCTTTGGATTTCGAAATTCAAGACCTACTTTTAAGGGTTTTGTGCAAATTTGAGGTAAGGGCTCTTAATCCACAAGTTTCTTGCTCCTATGTGAATTACATCTTCTAATTTGATGCTAGACATGTTTACTTATGCTAGTTGTAGTTTAAAGAAATTATAGCATGTGTATGTGGTTATGTGAGAACTTGTTTTAAATATTTTACGTGAAAATTCTTGCTTATGTGATGATTTATATATGTTCGTTGTGCTAGATGCATTGTTGTACAAAAGCATGTTATAATCCCTTGAGAAATTCTTGCGAAATAATGTCTTGCTTACTTAAATAGAGTTGAATGTTAAATGATGATTAAATTCATGGTATTGATGCACTCATGCACTTACATTGGGCATGAAACGGGAAGAATGAGTTTGAAATGAAAAATGAGATTTTGGGGAAAATGATTTGATAAAACTGTTTTGAAAAACCCGGTCGCCGCAGGGGTACCAAAGGGCCGGAGTGTAAATATAGCCTAGAGGGGACTAGGGAGTCGCCCTAGCGTGGTTGAGCTAGCTGGGCCCCATAATGACGCCGCGGGGGTACCAAGGGTCAGGGACACTAGCCAATCCTCCTCTCGTGTCGCTGCGGGGTCACCAAAGGGCGGGTTATATTAACAGTTTGAAAGTGATGTTTGAGAACAGAAAATGGGGAGTGACATTAGCATGCATTTGCATTTCATGGCATCATGTGGGTTGTACTTGAGTTTAGTTGGAATGTTGTATTATTTCCCGACATTGTATAATCCTCATTTCCTATTGGCCTATTCTTTGTACGGATTCATAGGGACACAAAAAAAGTGTCTTAAGCGTCACCTACTGAGCATATTTGCTCACCCTGCTATTTATATTATTTTTTTCAGGTCTTGGAAATGAACCGGTGGACGACAATCCACCTTAAGCTTGAAAGTTGTTAGAAGGTTGTTTGCTATTTTGTATTTTGACCGTTTTATGTATATTCGTAGTTGTGGGGATGTAACTAAGTTAGTATTTATGGCCTTGTAACTTAAGAACAAACTTATCTTTTGTTTAATGTAAATGAAACTAATGGAATTATGGTATATGTTTCCATGCAATTGTATCATGTAACGTTGTAAGACAGGGACTTTAGATCTTAACCAGGTATTTTGGGACTGTAATTATGATAAATTAGATTAATTGGTGTGTGGATGTTCCACCATGAGAGGAACTATGTTGAGGTATAATGAACGGATGAATGGGATGTTAGATGATATTATGTGTTTTGTGTATTGGGACAGGTTGTTGAAGGCCCATTTTTAAGGGAAGTTATGCCGAATTTTTTTTAAATTTTGGCATCAGCTAGGGTCGTTACAGATATACGGTATTTTTGGGTATTATCGTCATTTGAGATTCAGATTTTATATAATAAAAAAGCATTATAAAATGAGGGGCAAAATTGACATTTCACATTGTGAGTCTAGCTCTGACAAGGGGTGTCTTGACACCCACCTATAATTTAGGCAAACACCCACTTGTAATTTAGGGCGTATTGGTGTAATTTACACAACCTAAATCTAACAATGACAAAATAGGGAAAATCAATGGCCAAAGGATGCCTAAGAGTGCCATTGTCCATTTTCTCATAAATTTTCTTAAAGAAGGGAAAATTCTTAAAGAAGGGAAAATTGAAGTGAATCCTCCAAAGTATTATGAGATTATTGATTGCTAGTCAAGTTAAAGATTTTACAAAATAGTTGTAAGCCAGCCATGATTTATGCTATGATATGTTAGGTTGTCAATAAACATGTTTGAAAAATGAGTATCGTCAAAATGAGAATATTAAGATTTAGTGGCAATGTAAGAAACATAAACGGGTATGTGTTGATTAAAAGCTATCGGTAACATTAATAAACGACAAGATTAGCAAAGTCACCTAAGGTGCTCTGTGCTCAATCATTTGCAACAGGGTCCTATATATTTATATATATAAGAGGAATGAATATATTCAAGTTGAAGACACTACAAGGAGAAGAGGAAAACCAAAGTAAGTTAGAATAAGATCACATCTAATTACTAAAAAAGACGTCATAAATCATTGTTTACATTCAAGATATGATATCAGATAGAGATGAATGGTGGAAAAAATAAAATAAAAACTCGTGTAGATGACTTAGAGAAGAATAACAGGAATATAGAGGTTTGTACATTTGACCAAGTAAATGTTTAAAAGCAATCCTCATTTTGAAACTTCCAAGTGAAAAGTACGGTTATCTAGCCAAGCCGATAAGCAACCAATAAACAACTTCCCATAACAGAATGAACCAAAATGAGAACTTTGAGGTGGAAGAACGGCAATTAGGAAGATGACAGAATGAATTTAAAACAATAGGTCGTACCAACAATTGGGGGAAAAATTAAGAAAATAATCTAATGCTACGTTTGGTAGGAGGGAAGAATGGGGGAGGGAGGGAAGAGAGGGGGAATGAAACAAGTTTCCCTTAGTTTGGTGGGAGGGAGAGCTAGAGGAAATGGAAGAATGGATGGATGAGCCATCCTTCCTGGCCCACCAATTTTCATCCCTCCAATATTGGACAGAAAAGAGGAGGGATGAGAAGAATAACTAATTTGTATATTGAAAAATGACATTGTTAACCTACAATTTTTGCATGTTTTTGCATATTAATTTTTACTTGTATATTTTAGATAATAAGGATATAATGATGAAAGAAAAAAAAAAAATTTACTTCCTTTCTTTACCAAACAATGGAATGTGTCAACTCCTGCTCTTCTCCTCCACACAACCAAACAAAAAGAGGGAAGGAAATCTTCCCTTCCCTAGGAATGACGCCTCATCCATCCTTCCAACCCTCCCTACATACTTTTCCATCTTTCATACCAAACACAGCATAAGATGAAAACCATTTGCAATAAGAACCGAGTCTACATTTGAATGAGGAGTAGACTGATTCAGATTGAAGGCACTAAAAGGATAAATGGGGTTTCAAATTGAAGGCACTACAAGGACAAAAGGGGAGCCCAAAAAATTTTAAAATAAAAAAGCTCTACACAGAGTTAAATGAAATGATAACCTATAATTTATTCAGATTAAAGGCACAACAAGGATAAGAGAGGTGGCACAATATATATAGGTCAAAACATATTGAAAAGATATGGTATCTGTAATTTAACTAGATAACCCTATAGATGCGACTAGCCCAAAATACATTTGCATAAGTGGCTTAACATGGTTGGACTAGAAGGATTAGTCAATAACTTGATCATTGCTAATAGAAATTGTCATTTGGGAACTTCAAACTTTCATTCAGTGAGCACAAAAGGAAAACAGACAAGTACAGTTTCTTAGCACACTGCACAAGAAACAAGATCCCATGGTTGTTGGTCTATAAGCAAGTCAATAAATTCTACAAGTAAAAGCAAATTAATTTCTGGCTCATGTGTCAATAAAGGTGAAATGGAAAATATGCTACCTTAATTCGTTCATATTCGCTGATAGCGCAGTTTTTAGCATCTTCGGTTATTTTTATGGTTTCTTTCAGCTCTTCTCTCTTTTGGATCCTTGACTTGTCCCCACCAAACATTGTGGATGATGCAGCTTCAAGTTTTTCAGCTCTAGAGTGCAAAGACGATAATTCCGATAAAATAGTTTGTACCGTCAATAAAGCACTCGAACGATCAGAGAAAGCAGTATGGACTGCCAACATTAGCCCCAGGTATTCATGTAGTGTATCCTGCAGCATATATAAATATATGAGAGGGTGATGATGATATCATGATAGTATTAGAGATTCTACCCGGAGCACAAGAACCTTGATTCAATAGTGGTGTTACTAGGAAAGTCGAAAAAATGAACTTCGGTTATCATACAATTTATAAGCTTTCTGTTCATTCCATCGAGTGCTTTTTTCAGTTGTTCAATACAAATTGCTTGATATAACAATATATATTGACACGTTCAATTTTGAGGTTCAATAGAAGGTGCAGTTAATTTACCAGATGCTCGACAGTTTGTGCACTTAATCCCCGATAAAATCGGCTTGCTTTGACAGCAGCAGTAGCCACATTTTTCATATCAGAAGCCCGTATTCTTTGAGTGTTGAACACAGCCTCCACATTCTCAAATTTTGTCAACTTAATAAATGCCAGCCCTAGTTCTCCCATTGTTTCTCCCATATCTTTTTGCGCTTTGACAAGTGCTTCTGCCTAAATGTGGATAGGAAAAATATTAAAATTTCTCATAACCCAACAGTCAATGTAAGTATATAATGTGTTATCTAATAGTGATGGTAACAACAACAACGAAAAAAAAAAAAAACCTGCTTAGATGCATTGCTGAGTTGCTGCTCAAGAAAATGTAGCTTCTCTTTCTTTTCTAAGAACTCTTTATCTTCTTCTTCCACAGGTGGTCTTGAACCTCCCCAATCATTAGTCACTGACTGCTTCAGCTCCTTGAATATTCTCAACAAATCTCTTCCTCCTTTTGCTGGCTGCACAACATCCTGCGGCCCAATCACGCTTGCAGAGTCCCCAAACAACTGCTTCGGAAGCTTCGCCGCCCCATCAAGCATCCTTGACGCCACATCTGTGGTCGTGGGCAATGGAAGCTTCCCCTGAACCTGCAAAAACACCCTCAGCTCATCGCTTTTCTTGATCACCGGATGCACGGCCAATCTCCGCAAGTACTTCTCCAATGCCACCCTCCTCTGCTCCACAAATTCTTGCTTTTGCATCACCTGACTCTCCACCACACTCTTATCCGGTCTGGGCGGAACAAAAAAGCCTCTATAAGCCTCACTCAACCTATCAGACAATGTAACCACATCCCTAAATCGCCTCCGAACAATGAACTCCGATCCTCCAAACTCAGGCAGGTTCGTTCTCGTCGTAATCAAATAAGTAACATAATTGTTCCCCCCCGGAACAAACGAATTCGGCCCTTCCACCTCTTTATGAGGATTGGAAACAGTAATCTTCACATACTCGGAACTCGTCGAAGGCGATCTTGACAACGCCATGAATTTCTTTGAATCATTACTAGGGCTTTCCACGCCGTTGACCTCGATCCCGTTCCTGTCGTCGAGCGGACTAAAAACATCGTCCGGATACGACAACGGTTCTATGTACGAATTGTTAGAGAAATTAGGGTTTTCGAGGTCTCTGTACTGTGGCGGAGGAGGCGGAGACAGTAAAGGATCGGTGTCGGTCGTAGAGGCGATGATTGGCGGAGACAAAGGGTGGTGAATTTGAGCGAGAGTGGATTTGCTGGAAGAATCGTTGAGGACTGGGGTTTCCATATCTTCTTCAAAGCTCCGGTTCTCTGAACCCCTCATTTTATTGTCAAAATCAGAAGTTATTAAGCTTTTATTTGATCGATTAAGCTATAAATAACAAATCTTAGAACATGAAAATTTTAGGGTTACAAAATTGAGATTGATTTGGCTTGCTCTACAATAGGAGTTCGTTGGTGTAAAGGAGAGAGAGAGAGTGTGTGAAGAGAGAGAAAATGTGTTGGTTGGTAGTTGGTTCATGTGGGTTATGGTGGGAAGCTATCGTGCGCCGCGACGAGGTTGACTGGCTAGTACACTCCAGCTCTAGCTGGAAGAAACCCAAAGACGATCGAACTCCTAGCTTTTCTGAGAGGATCAGTGAGACGGGCATAGATGAATTTGCATGGGAATGTGGAGTTTATCTCTGATTGAATCCAATGGAATGAGTTTCAGTTAGAATTTTTCGCGTTGTAAATGGAAAAAGGAGATTTTCTCACCCACCATTGATTTTCACACCCTTTTCCTATGCGGCCAAACAATATGGAAGTAAACTATCACATGTACAATCGTTGAATTCTCAACCAGTGCCAATGACTGTCATCATCAAAAATCTCCAGCAAGACAATCAAAGAATCAAATCAAATTCCTAGCATTAATCTATGAGAAACGTTTTAAGTGTGAGATTATTATTTTTTATTATATTTTTTTTCCTTTGATGGTAAACTATTTTTATTTATTTATTTTTTTTTTTCCTTTGATGGGAAACTATGCGAGAGAACATTCTCCCAATAAAATAAAAAATAGGATAAAATAAACTGTAATTTTCTAAAAATTATTAGGACGAAAATCACCTCTAGTCCTACAGTACACAAGTTCCTCCATTTTGGAATGAGTGGCACATCACTTAAAAAAGTGGGTAAAACAAAGTAACTGAAGTTGTATTAAATGTGTGTAATAATATAGTATATAGGTTATATTTATACGGCATATTGTCCATTTAGCCCTTACTTATTGTATAGAATTGTCCATTTAGCCCTAACCCTTATTTTACAGAATTTGTAAGGAATGCAAAGAAGAGAAAGAAGTAAAAGGTCTACGTGGCTTTGCAAAGAAGAAAGAAGGAAAAAGGTGTAAGGAAGAAGGTCATCTGAAGATTTGCATAGGAAGAAGGTGCTTTGTTTCGTGAAGAAGGAGGTCTGCGTGAGTCTGCGAAGAAGAAAGAAGGAAGAAGGTCTTGTGTTGCCAATTTTGTAGTTGAAGAAAATCGTAACCTCTGTTGTGCTTCTGAGGCTTGGGTTGCGAAGAGAACCATCGCTACATTGAAGAAAACCCTAACCTCTCTTTCCAAATTGAAGCCGGAAGCAGCGATTGTTCTGTGAATGAACCCAAATTTGGGTTGATAAACCTAAGCAGGTACGAATAATAATTTTCAGATTTGATTTTGAAGGGAATCGTCTTATTTCCATAAGAACTAAATAGCAGAAACAAATATAATTAGTAAGAATATATAGACACATTTTTGGTAAGAAACCCTAACCTCTCTTTCCAAATAGAAGCCGGAAACAGCGATTGTTTTGTGAATGAACCCAAAATTTGGTTGCTAAACCTAAGCAGGTACGAATCATAATTCTTAGATTTGATTTTGAAGGGAATCGTCTTATTTCCATAAGAATTAAATGGCAGAAACAAATATAATTAGTAAGAATATATAGACACATTTTTGGTAAGAAACCTAGAAATAGAAAATTATTAGTGAATTTGAATTGATGGATTTTTTATTGTGCAGTTATTAGGGGCATGAGTGTTTGTTTGTGAGGATAAAAAATGAGAGGATTTGTAGAGTCATGAGTGGCGCAAAAAGAGTGTTTTAGAGTGTAACAATGTTAAGAAAATGTTTGGTCGTTGGGCTTGTATCGCAAATTCTTCCTGAGTTGCATTCCAAGTTCTTCCTAATAAGTATCCCAAATTCTTCCTTATCTGTATTCTAATATTTTTGTAAAGTAAGTCATAACATTTTCCTAATGTACATCCTAACAATTTCGTTATATAAATCTCAAAGTATATGTAAATTGTAACATAACATTTTCCTTTGAAGAAAACCCTAACCTCTCTTTGGCGTCTGAGGTTTGGGTCTGTGAAGAGAACCATCGCTATATTGAAGAAAACCCTAACCTCTCTTGTTCTTTCTTTGATTCAAGAAAACCGAAACCTCTGTCTTGCGTTTTCTCCCTCATTCTTTTTCGGTGATTAAAGAGAACCCCATAACCGATTGCCCTAAAAACCCACAAAGTGCAGAAGGTATTTATTCTTGATTTGGAGTCCTGCTTTCATCAATAGTAAGCGGCTGTTCCAAAAGTCTGAAGTTCTATAGTTGGGTGAGTGTGAATTAGCCATTTTTAGTTTAATAATGCTGCCTAATGTTTTGAGCATAGTAGATGAGGTGCCTGATGTTTGCATTCACATGTGTGCATTAACATACATACGATATCGTAAATTGTAAATGTATTTGATTTCGTAATTTTTTAGTGATTAAATTGCTTATCTTCACTGCAGTTAAGTTGTGAGCATAATTTGCTTTACTCTTCCTTAGTGATGATCTTGTATATATTTAAAAAGTGTCACATGTATATGATTATAAAGTTAGTGTTTATAAATTTGGTTTATGGTTATATAATTTCTGTCCACTTAACTAATGTTGCACACACATTTTTGTTTTTGCGTATTTTCTAGTTGACAAATTGCGTAGAAGAGCCAGTATGCCTTGATTTGTTGATATTACTTATGTATGATTTGTTGATATTACCTATGTAATATGCCTTCCTAAAGAAAAAGACTATGTTTATATCATATACTCCGTATATTTTGCTATGTAGCAGGAGTATTAGTTTTGAAGATAATACAGCTTTGTCAAATAATCCAGTATTTATTTTTGCCTTATATCTTTCAGAATAATTCTCTTCATATTAGTGAATCAGCCTCCAAATACACAACACTTGCCTAAAATCTTGTTATTTGTACACATGTAACTTGATGAAACTTCATGGTTTGACAGATTGTGTAATAGTGATACTAGTATTTTTTATTTTTAGATTGAAAGCAAATGCTTATGTTGGATATGTTTCAGCAGTTTATGCAAAATACTGATGCATTGTGTTATATATTTGGCAATTAACATGTTGTGGCTATGTAGCATGCAATGTACATTAATAGTCTCTATTTGTCATATCTAATTGTGGCTTGAATCGAATTTAGGTTTTCAAATAGGTAGGTTGAAGACTGTAGAGTGTAACAAAGGGAAAGGGAAAAGGAAAATGATACCGGTTCCAAATAAAATAAGTATCCTTAAGAGTGGTGAGGTTGGTGAGAGTTCGAGAATGTCGTCTTAGAGCAATTCTAATTATGTGCCAAGTGAAGAGGAGGTACATGAAGATGAATATGAACATGAAGAAGAATTTGAGCCGGAGGCAAACATTACTACATCCTCTAAGACTAAAGAAAGTATGTCGCGTCGTCCTGCTGGAGTGTTCGTTATGTTCAAGTATGTATGTATTAATGTTAATTTTGCAATTAAAATTTGGTTTGAAGTCTAAAGTCATGGAAAAGTAGGAAAAATTGGGAAGTTACATGAAATTTTTGGTTTTCCGGAAATGGAAGATATATGAATTTGAGAGTGGAGAACATAATAAGTAACTTGTGATGTATATGTATTTAAATCCTTATGCTTGGTTTATTTATGGTTGATCAGAGCAATATATATGAGGAAATACCGAGAAGATCATGGATTGATGGAAAAAATCAAGATGCCTCTAAAAAGAGAAATAAAGACTAAAGCTACGCATGCATGGAAAATAATGAGTAGTGAAGAGAAGGCCTGATATTATGATGAAAAAAGTAGACTTGAAATGGAGTTCCGAAGGTTCGGATGTAAAACTACAAATAAAAGAAGGAAAAAGGTAATGTGTTAAATCGAATTGTTTGTATTTATTTCATATAACATAGACTTAAAAATTGAATGATAATGTAATGTTATTAGTTTTTCAATGGTATAGAAGAAGGCATAATACAAGATTAAGGCCGGTTTCCACAGAAGCTCCATTCCCAAATTCATAGAAATAGTTGCGAAACTGAACTCTGAGAAGAGGAAGGATGTGGAGGATATCGGTTTTGGATTTCTGTTGGACCTTAATTGTTCCCATTTGTCAACTTCACTCTTCAACTACTTGATAGAACAATTTGACGCTGACAAATGTGGTATAAAGCTGAAGGGCAATTAGTTGTTACCCATAAATGAGTTTGAGGTGCATAACATTTTGGGCTTACCTGCCGATATAGTGCCAGTGCCTACATCCCGTCAGTTTTCTGCGGACTGGATAAACGAGGGTGGATATTGGGAGTCTTTGTTTGTAGGCGAATTGATGAAAAGGGTTGTAGAATGTGAAGTTGGAGATGACTTCAAAAAGGCCTTTGTATTATCCGCATGTGTCACTGTACTAACCCCAAACGGTCGTTATCATGCGCATGTACAAGAATTATTGGCCGTTGACAATGTCAAAGCAATAAGTTCTTGTAATTGGTGCCTGTATGTGGTGGACCATGTGGTTGGTAGTTTGGGTGATGGCAAGCTGAAAAGAGAGTATGTTGGTTGCTTGCTATTCTTGCAGGTATACAACTTTGAATTTAACTCCATTTGCAAATTGAAAGTTGTGAATTTAAATTGTTTCGTGTATAATATGTATCATGTCTAATCTGCTGCATTTTGTTTCATACAAAATAGCTGCTGTATTTGATGAGATGTCAAGTGAAATACCCATGTTATCCTACTGGAGATAGAAACAGCCTAGGTTATTGGGATGATGGCCTCGTGCGTGATCGATTAAAATAAGAGGAATAGATGGGAAATGTTGCAAATTTAAGTGCTTGTATATCTTTATTTTATCATTCCAGCATCAGGTAGAACAATAGTTACATATTGTGCGTATTTTGAATTTGGAACAGTTGATCACAGCTTGGGGCACAATAGATATAAGTAATGTCAATGTTAGCCCAACTGCATGTGGTCCATCCCAATCTCGGCCAGGCTCGTCTAATGCAGCATTAGAGGTAAATAAATATGTTAATGCTAGAGATGATGATGTATGTATGAATAGACTGCCTCGTAATTGTATTTCAATTAGTGTTCACCAATTACTACATTTGTATGTAGCGTTGCATTAAAGATATGAAAAAGGAAATAAGAAAAGATGCAGAAAATACAAAGACGTTGAAGAGAAAGGTTAACGAAATAGAGATTTTAATGAATAAGAAGTCAAGAAAGGATTGTAGAGGTGAGGAACAACAGTCTACTGATGAGCTAAGAGATGAATAGGATAGCGAGGATAGGGAAACAGGTGGTGATGAGGAATCAGTTGATGGGGATGTATTGGAGAGAGATGTAGGCCACCTTACTCCTACCACCAACCCTAAAATGAATGACCAACAATGGGAAGAGGGCGATATGGTTGTCGCCATGGCTATGGAGCAGGGCTTAAAGTGTAGTACCAGTTGCAGCTTCCAGTAGTCAGACAGACATAAATGTTGCAATGCCAAAAGATGAAGAGGATAGGGG